ACCAATCAATCAACCAATCAACCAATCAATCAACCAATCAATCAATCAATCAATCAACGAATTAATCAATCAATCAATTTTTTTTTTCTTCACCCGGGACCAAAAAAAAACATTTTTTTTTTAACTGTTTTTTTGAATGGGGGGGTACCCCCCGACACCCGACCCCCCCCCAGCCCATCCACCCCCTCAATACCCCTCCGGAAGGCCGTGTACGGACGGCCCGAAGTCCGTACGTACGGGCCGTATGGGCACCGGGGGGGCCGGACGTACGGATGTCCGGACGTGTGGACGGGCCGTATTCGTACGGGGGTATACACTGCCAAGGATTTTAGGAAAGTGGGGGTGGAGTCCCTGGTCGGAACTGAGATCTCCAGTGGCAGGTTTTAGGGACAATGGTGCAAGATGGTATGCACGGATCATATCTGGCGTTTCCGCCTTCGGGGAGGGGGCTATGGCCTTTGCCAATTGCGTCGCCGCTGTCGGTCCCTTGTCTGGTGGATCGGTGGGACACCGTGGCTGTCGCCCTGGGCGAACAGTTGTCGACACCGCTCGTAACAAGCTTCGGATTTCGACGAGACGGGTCGTAAGTGGAGGCTGTGCAATCGTTGCTTGGGTTCGGTTCGGGTTCGTAGGATGAGTCCCGAAGCCCGGTATGCCTGGTATTGCTGGCAATCCTCGCACGGTGGGCAGGGCCAAGAGGGCCAATAGCGAGCTATGGAATTCCACGGTACACTGTGAGCTGATGATATGGGAGGAGGAGATGGAAGGGAGGGAAACTGGTATTAATAGGGACGAAGCCCGGGGATATGTAATATTGAGTGTCGTCAGTATCTGGATAGTCTGGGCCCCTAGGATCGTTGGTTATAGCCCAGTGGAAATCCCCTTCGCACAGGCGGTCGTTCTCCGTCAGACAGGGGAATTCCAGGTTTCTCAAGTTTCCCCGCCGTCTGAGTTGTTCGCCTTCCCAGTAGTCACGGTACTCCGGGTCCCTCAGGCTTTCACGATTGGTCATCCCAAAGGGACTACGAATCTCCCTCGGCGGCAGCCATCCAACGGACAAGTCCGCGGCAGCGCAACTTTGCGGCCGCATGGCGGCCGGTGGGGAGGGGGGTTCAGGATTTGGGAAGCGCCATGGGGCGGCGCAACCCCAGCCCC